TTGTGTTTAAGAAGAACTCCAAACCGACGTTTATTCGCCTGTATTTCACCAATAGGTTGGAAGAGGGGTCCGAAGCCATTGAGATTCCGGTCGAGAGTTTGAGACAATTTCCGGCCGGTTCTACACTCGTATGTTATTTTGTTAACATTTTAGAAAACTGTGAATTTAATGTTTGACAGCACTTATTGTTGAATCGGTAATTGATTTTTTACTCAATTATTTAGTCTGGCGTTCACTTCAAAGCGTTTGGATGCGATGAAAGTGAAATCGATTTGCATGACTACGAACACCAAACACTCAGTATATCACTGGAAGAGAAGCCGGCGGTCATTAGAGCCGATGGAATGCTTCCCAACATTTGGGTCCATACGGACGCCTCCGAGAAGAGGGTCTATAAGTTGACGTGGAAACAGGCGAAGAAGGACATCGACATCGAGTTCTTCTTCCTATTGCAACCGTACGCCGATTCACCGCAACGAATGGAAATCAAGACCGACAGCCACCCAAAGGTGTTTCCAATCGGACAAACCGTTTCCAATGCGCTGCACATCAAAGTTCTGGACGCCTATAATAATCCGATTCGATCTAAAGATATTATGGATCGACTCGTTATTAAACCCGTTTCTCAGCTCATAGTTCTCGATGAAAGATGTCTGAAAAAGGCTTTCGCCAGAACTGACAATACGAGCGCAGAGGGGCATCAGATTGAGCCCAGAGTTTCGTTCGTTATCTCCAATATAAGACTATTGCCGAACACAACCATAACATCTAACGAATCACATATCGGTAGTCATAAACTGTCGTTTGCCATCAGAAATATAGATGATATGATTCAAGAGCTCGACATTGATGTAGTGAACGGAACGCCGCATTCACTCGTATGGATCGACTCGAGGAGTTGTTTGTCTCTAACCAATAATAAACGCTTTCGATTCGAAGTACAAGTTTTGGATGAGTTTAAGAATCCAGTGGTGAACACAAAACTAGAGATTAAGTTGACGTTAGTGTCGAGTATTAATCAAATGGAATTCACAGCGGAGACCGATTCGGACGGTGTGGCCGTGTTTTCTCGTGTATTGAATTACAAACCCGACGCTATTGTACAGCAATGTCAACCACCGGCAGGAGTGGCGCCCATTCCCTCGGCATCCCATTCACAGTGCTTTGGATTTACGCGTGCGTTCGCCACCGCTAAACACATCCGAAAGGCTCTGCGTTCTAACGACCAATGGATTCACGTTAGCAGTGATAATAAGAACACCACAAAAAGTCCGCACAAACCGGGAGACGTGTATGAGAAGAGAGAGAAAAAGATTTTAAAGAGTTTGCGAGATTTGGGAGAAAACTTGACCGGTTTGGACGATGAAATCAATATAGACCAGAGATTAGATGCCTGTAAGAAGTCATTAACTGCATTGAGAGCACGAGATGCGAGTCGAACGGTGCGTGGAATCGATGTGCCGAAGGCTCCCAATAGAAACGGAGTGATCGGACGGATCGCACACTTGGCGTACGTCGAAGACAATGCATTGGCCAAAAGTATTTCGTGGTTTCTCCGCGATTTCATGTCGTGTATCGTCACTAAGACTACAGAATCGGCGCAAAGACTTTGCAACACTTCGGCTGAAGTTCAACAGACGCTTCCATTGGATTGTATTCAAAAATCATTGACATTACCAACACTTCCAACGTATGGCACTTATGTTGTAAAAGCAGCCAAACATTATCTCAAATATAACGAAAAGTCTGATAACTTGAACAAAGTATTTGATGCCGTTTTGGGAAATTCTATAATCATGGAAGACATTGAGAGTGCAAAGATATATAGACATCAACTCATCCTTAGAAGCATGAGATGTCCGACAATTATAACCAAAACTGGAATCCTATACGAGTCGGGAATCATTGATAGGCAGACAACTGCGGGCGATATCGTTATGTTTCAGTCGCCACCGGATCCAGAGTTGATCAAAACTGGGAAAATCGCACGACTTTTGCAACAATTGGTCGCTAATCTCCACAGGAATTTTGAAGAGTCCATGGGTTCCGAAGAGTCGGGTTCTGAGACAGACTGCGATCCGCCGGCGCCCAAAAGGCAAAGGACTTAACGAAGCGTTTTCATGACAACATTAATTCATCACTAATATTAATATTTACATTTTATATACATTTAACTTATATTTTGTATTAGTTTATGATTTTAAACGACACAAAAAAATTATATTTAGTGATTCATTGATTAATTCAAATTATGTAATGCTATATGAAATAAATTACATATTTTCAGACAAATTGATTTGTAGTTTTGTAAACTTATTTACATTAAAAGTACATTAAATTTTAATGAATATAACGTTGTATTTGATGGACACAACCATTTGAATGCATGACTCAATCGTTTGCAGTGAACGTCAACTTAAGCCAAACGATAGGCTCTGATATTGCAAACGATTGTCTCATCACTTCATTCACTCATTCAATAGTTGTATTTGATGGACACAACCATTTGAATGCATGACTCAATCGTTTGCAGTGAACGTCAACTTAAGCCAAACGATAGGCTCTGATATTGCAAACGATTGTCTCATCACTTCATTCACTCATTCAATACAACTATAGTTAACAGAAATACCACTTAATTGTCATTTCATAACACTTTGTGTCCACAACTCGTCACACGATTTGTCGTTTTCCTCACATTTTGTGTACAAATTTTTGTGGTAATTATTTGTCGACAAAATTGCAGTGAATTTATTGTCTTAATTGTTGTCTAATCACTATTTGGTGACATTTTTCAGATCAATCGCCGGTTCGCGTAATCATAGCGTGAAATGTCTGTTCAGTGGACTCTTGTGGCCGTCTTCTTGTACGCGGAGATCGGTTTCGTTGTCTTATTGTTGGTTCCCTTCATATCGTCCAAAACGTGAGTTTAATGCACCGCGACTCTCGACCACTGATTGACAATTGTCTTAATTGTGTTTTGTTTGGTCGACACAACAGATGGCAAAAGTTCTTCAAATCTCGCTTTTTAAGGAGTATCGAGAGTCAGGCGAACCTCTATTTCATGGTATTTATCGTGATTTTGGTCCTTCTTTTTATCGGTAAGTAATTGTGCGGTCTTTACGTCTCAATCATTAACTATTGATTACATTATATGACACACTGTCTGTCTGTCTGTCCGTAGACTCTGTCCGAGAGATGTCTAAATACACGTCAGAGAAGGTGCACGACTCAGATCACGGACACCTCGACGCAGAACTCCAGCACTCGATGAAACTCTTCAGAGCTCAACGAAACTTCTATATCGCGGGATTCGCTCTCTTCCTCTGTCTGTATGTCTTTGCCGTTCATTTATTACCACTCTTGCGAATGACAATTCATTTACCTATTTTAAACTCTCTCTCTCTCTCATACACGTCTCCCGGTTTGTGCGGACTTTTTAGACAGTGTGTCATACAATGTAATCAATAGTTAATGATTTAGACGTAAAGACCGCACAATTACTTACCGATAAAAAGAAGGACCAAAATCACGATAAATACCATGAAATAGAGGTTCGCCTGACTCTCTCTCTCTCATTTTTGTTGTCTAAATGTGTGCAAAAATAGGTATATATTTGATAGAATTGAATGCAAAGTCTGAATGTATTGAATATCAATTTAAGATAACAAATACGTGTCAATTGATAGCAAACAATGAAGTGTTTGTCTATGATTTTCAGTACTTTTTAAAGGCAGTACTTTTCAGATTAAAGTCGATTCTGTGATTTCGTACATTTGTTTCCTACAAAAGAAATGTCAAGAATTCCTGTAAACAAATTGTTGTATAGTTTTAGAGCTGTCTATGATTTGTAAAGTGACTACTTTTGGACGTTTACAAGAATAGTAGCAAAAATGTAACACTTTTTGTTGATGTATAGTGTAATCAGACGTCTGGTTGTACTGATCGGAAGTCAGGCCCAATTGGAAGCTCAGGCGGAGGCCTCTCTTCGACAGGCAAAGGGCGCGTCTCAGCACTCGCAGCAACTCATGGATCAGATGTCGACGAACTCACGCGAGACGCTCAACGAGAATGAGGGCAATAAGAAGCTCGAGAAACAGGAACAGGAGTTACGCAAAATGCGCGAAGACTTGGCGTCGGCGAAGGAGGAGCTGATCCGGTATCGCGTCAACTGTGAATCGATGAAAAAACAGGCCGAAGCCGTTTCCGAAGAATACGATCGTCTGCTCGTCGAACACGACAAACTACAGGTGCGGCTCAGCTCTCAATCACTCACTCAATAACACCTGTTATTTACAAATTAATTACTTTATTTTGTTTGACATGTATTTATAGCGCGAATACAATCGACTGTCAAATGTGGACGACGTTAAGAAAGACAAGTAGTTGTGTTGTGAACGGCTTTTTGTAAAACCGGTTAATAATACCGATTCGTAACGTAAAACATGAATAAGTATTTTTCGCTTTGATTTAATGGATAGTTTTTAATGCCTTTATTACAACTTATTTATGAATTACTTAATTAATATCTAAATTCGTTTCGTTTGTAACGAAACTAACGATGATTTTATATATAAAAATATTTTTAAACATTACGTAAATCTCAATACGATTCTTGTGGTAAATATATTTCAACATATTTAGAGCGTTAATAAACATAATTTTTAAATTATGAAAACTTAATTCTGGAAAATGTATTCAACATAAAGTTGAGAGCATTTTCTCTTTGGTTTTGACCGACTTTTACGGCACAGACGGTGAGAGCGCCGACAGCTATCAGACTGAACAGCAAACGCTTGGAATAATTGGCCGTTTCTTTGCATTTGCTGTTTATTTCGTCCTCTAATGTGAAGGGAATGGAGAGGACGTCAGGAGTTTGCGGTTCGCTGTTGTCATGGATTGAATTGACGACACTTTGAAGTGATTGGATCTCCTGATGAAGCATTCGGCAGTTGGACAGCGCCTGAAGTAATTCATTGGTCACATTCCGTTTGGTCGACCGTTCAGTATTCAGATTCAATATATCGGGCTTTTGTTTCACTGTATTCTTCAGATAAGTGACCGTTTGGTCGATTCGATGCAAATGATTGGTCACATTCGAGACAATGCACAACAGTTCCGGACATCTAATGACACAAATCAATAGTATTACTGGCAGTCAATGACATTAAATACCAAGTCTTACGTAATGCTTGTCTGAAGATTCATTTCTTTCAGCGATTCCTTCTTCCAGTCCTGATTGTGAAGCAAAACAATATTCGCGCAAATCCTTCGTCTGACCGCGTGATCAGTGACTCCGATCTTATCCAACACTTCTTCAGCATTAGTGACCAAATCCTGATAACCGATGTTTTTCTCAATAAATTGTGGCAATAGATCCATGAGATCCGAGTTCATTAAGAAGTCTTCTAAATCACGACTGTTTTAAACATAAGTTACAAAATACATGAACACAACTATTGAGAGAATTACTTCATTGCTTTTGGCTTTGATTTTGACTTTTCTCGACACTTGATTTCGACAATAGGTTTGACATATTCTTCTAAAACCTTCACATCCTCTTCACGTAGTTTTCTATTATCACTACTCGTCTCACTATCCAAACAATCGCTGCTTTCGTTCACAATTTTGTGAATATTTTTCAAAATAGTGTTTATCTAAAAATACAATAAATATCATTGAATTGGTGCCAAAACTATTGATTTGATTCTCGTATTCAATACTTCGTAATGGCTTTGGGTTTCAGCAATTTGTTCGGCAGTTTGTAATGACTTAGTCTTCAAAGTGATATCAATGTCATCACTGGTGAGGAGTCGGGCGACAACCTTCCCGTGACCTTCCCTTACGGCCCAATGCAGTGCCTATTGAATCGGCGTTTCAGTCATAAAATACACACATTGAGTGCCAATCAATACATACATTCCAGCCGTCATTATTGGGGCGATTGATGTCAATCTTATTGTCTATTAATTGCTGAATGAGACCACACTTTCCCGTTTTAGCCGCATATATGAGCGCAGAGTTGCCGTAATTATCCAATGCGTTCACATTAGCGCCAAATTTGAGCAAATATTTGGCGCATTCAATGAGATCTTCTTCGGGGATACCATTACTCGCACCGCAAACGGCCATCAATGGCGTCCAATTATCTGTATTATAAACACTGCATATTAGTATCAATTGATTCCCAAAAGTTAAGACTCGGAGCAAACCTTTATGAAAGTTAGGATCGGCTCCTCTTTCCAGCAGATAATGAACCATAAGTTTGTGTCCACTATTGGAGGCGTACATCAATGCAGTCCATCCGGCCGTCAGTATTGTGTCCACAAACACATTGGACTCGCTTTCCATCAGTTCTTTGAGAAGTTCAAAGTTGTCGTTAATAATAGCCATTCGGATGTCATTGAGGAATATAGCGCCACAAGAGATGGACTCCAAGACTACATTTCGCTATTCAAACACATTTATAGATCACATCCAAAGACACTAAAAGTCGGGACAAACCTTTGGTTTTGGTTTCGGTGTTTCGGTCTTCTTATAGGAGACCTCTTCTTCTCTGCGGACATAAGAGTCGTCCAAAAAGTCATCAAACTCTTCGTCGCTATCGAACTCAGCGCCGGCCGCGAGATATGCCATCACTTGACTGTCAACACACGCGCGGATCAGTTGAGGTGATAATGACTGAGTGGTTAGATGTGTAGTGAATGTGAGTGAACTGAGGCGACAGTGAATTCAAAATTTTTTCAAATTATTTCAAATCTTGTTATGAAATGGCATTCAATCCGGAGATGTGTTTATAAACATAGCGTCAATGCTATCAATGCTATCACGCATTTAATTGGTTGCCGACAATAACACAGTACAGGTATAACAACGCGTTCACAAATATAGTGACGTTTATGGGGGAGTGTTTTGGTTGTGTTGTGTCAATAGATGGCTGTTTGTGTCAACACATGCTTTGCATTGCATTTGAGAGTTGAATGAATGACGAAATTTAAAACACATTTTGTGGCCAACAATGAGTGAAATCAACACTCATTTGACACATGATTTGTCGTCCCTATCGTTGAAGGCGTCGACGCCTAACACCACCGATGAGTCCACGAATGGACCGAATAGTGAGACCAACAGTCGGTCCAGAAGTGGACGTAAGAAGAAGAGCCAAACGAGTGAAACAACTAATGGTTTGGCAAACGATTTGCCGTCGCCTTCACTGAACGCGTCGACCCCTAAGACCGGCGACCACTTGAGGGCCGAACCCAACAGTGAGTCCAAGAGTCAGCCCAGAAGTCAACGTAAAAAGAAAGGGCAGACCAATGGTGTTGTTGTGCGACAGATCTCGTTGTCTCATATCATGGGATACGAGCCACAGATGAATGCGTTGAGAGAGTTGATTGAAACCCCGCTCTCGAAGAGCCACCAAATGAGACAAATGAGTGCCGTTTTGCCCAAAAGTGTCCTCTTATTTGGTCCGACGGGTTGTGGGAAGTCGTCGGCTGTGAAGGCGTTTTGCGCTCATTTCAATCAACAGATGTTTTGCGTTCACATAAATTGTGCCACAATTTTAGCCAAAAGTTTTGCCACATCTGAGGATAACTTGAGGACAATCTTCACGAACGCCATCGAAATGAGTCCAAGTCTTGTCTGTTTAGATAATTTTGAAATGATTTCGTCGGCAAAGAAGTCATCCGCAGATCAGGAAAAGAGATTGACTGCTATATTGTGTGCAATTTTGGACGATTTGCCGATTGATAAGCATATAGTGATGGTTGCGGTCACTAATAAACCCGATTTAATTGATACCAGCCTTCGAAGGCCCGGACGTCTTGACCGGGAAATTGAATTCGCGGTTCCGCTGCCGAAGGAAAGGACAGCCATTTTAAGGAAACATTTAAGTGAAATGAATAGTGATATCAGTGACGAAGTGTTGTCTGGTTTGGCCCAAAGCGCCCACTCTTTCACTGGCGCTGATTTGGCGCTCTCTTGTCGTGAATCGGCTTTAATTGCACTCAAAGACAATCGACACGTAATCAATGAAAACGATTTGAAACAGACGTTGAAGTCTATCCGTCCGTCGGCTATGAGAGAAATCAGTTTAGAAGTTCCCAATGTTTTCTGGACAGACATCGGCGGTATGCATGGCGTCCGCAATAAGTTGATCCAATCGGTCGTTTGGCCGCTCACTAATCCCGAAGCGTTCACCAGATTAGCCATCAATGCGCCCAAAGGTGTGCTTATGTACGGACCGCCCGGTTGTTGCAAAACAATGATCGGTAAAGCGTTAGCCACAGAAAGTGGACTTAATTTTCTGGCCATAAAAGGTCCCGAATTGTTCAACAAATGGGTCGGAGAGTCAGAGCGAGCCGTTCGCGAAGTGTTCCGCAAAGCGAGAGCCGCCTCGCCTTCCATACTGTTCTTTGACGAAATCGATGCGTTGGCCGCCGAACGAGGTGTCGGTCAGTCCACTGTTGGCGACCGAGTATTGGCTCAGCTCTTGACCGAAATCGATGGCATCGAACAACTGAATGGAGTGGTGATCGTCGCGGCCACCAATCGGCCCGATATGATAGATAAGGCACTGTTAAGACCCGGTCGTCTCGATTCCATACTTTACGTCCCGTTACCTGATATGGAGACCAGATATGAGATCTTAAGGATCAGAACCAGGAAAATGCCCCTCAATTTTGAACAACCAGTCGATGAGATACTCAAACAATTGGCGGTCAACACAGAAGGCTATACCGGCGCTGAGATAACGGGTGTTTGTCAAGAGGCGGGTCTAATAGCCCTCGAGGGAGACATCAACTGCCAATTCGTTGAACTCAAACATTTCGAGTCGGCGTTGGAATCAATTAAACCAAGAATTTCTCGACAAATGATAGCGTTTTATGAGAATTATAAGAATGAAACGACAAATAATCCGATAAATAAAACTTAAATATAATATTTTTAATAAAATTATATTTTTAATAAAATTAATGACTCAATTATTTAATAATTCAATGGATTTTTATTGCAATTATAATTCAAATCTTCATAATTTCTAACTTTTTAATGTAGTTTTGATTTGTATTTAACGTTATTTATGTATTGAATGTTTAAAAGCCTATAAAACACTGCATTTGACAACACGTGTGAATGTTATGCTTTTGAATGTCATTTTGTGGTGTGTTTTGTAGTTTGGGATCAATTTAAGACACGATTAGAGATGAAGAAGAAGTCGAGTGAAGACAAACCAATACGAGTGAAGAAGTCGGACGTCGAGGACCAGAAGATCCAAGAGTTGGTGTCGGCGTACGAGTCGTACGATTGGTCGCAATTTGAATCGTTTGAATCGATTCCTCTTTCGGCCAAAACACGTGACGCTCTCCTCTGGAATGGGTTCTCAATTCCCACTGATATACAGAGACAGGCCATCGGACACGCCCTCAGAGGCCGAGACCTGTTGGGCGCCGCGAAGACCGGGTCCGGCAAAACACTGGCCTTTTTAGTGCCCATTCTTGAGATATTATTCGCCAACAAATGGACGCATTTGGACGGAATCGGAGCTCTCATTATAACCCCCACTCGTGAGCTCTCGTATCAGATCTTTGAGGTGTTGAGGAAAGTGGGTATAAATCATGACTTTTCTGCGGGTCTTATAATCGGCGGAAAAGATCTCAAGTTTGAGAGGAAACGTTTGGACAAATGTAATGTCATTGTCTGCACTCCCGGACGACTTCTTCAACACATGGACGAGAATCCGCTCTTCAATTGCGATAATCTGAAGGTTCTTGTATTGGATGAGGCGGACAGATACGAATCCCGCGATATAGAAGTTTCGTTGAGCTCTGAAGAGTTTCATCGAGTGCTGGAGTTCTGCGTCGAGGTGTCCGTGATCTGAGTCGTGCACCTTCTCTGACGTGTATTTAGACATCTCTCGGACCGAGTCTACGGACAGACAGACAGTGTGTCATACAATGTAATCAATAGTTAATGATTTAGACGTAAAGACCGCACAATTACTTACCGATAAAAAGAAGGACCAAAATCACGATAAATACCATGAAATAGAGGTTCGCCTGACTCTCGATACTCCTTAAAAAGCGAGATTTGAAGAACTTTTGCCA